GAGTGAGCTAGCTATTTGCGGGAAGCTAAGCCAACATTCAGCTCAAACCCCGGGAAGGAGTCATGTCAAGATAGCTTACTTATGGACAAGCGCCGTCGTTGCTGTAAGGGCAGCTTCCTGCACTAGATTCTCGTATATGGGAGAAGAATCACTCAAGAGTAACTTGAGCCTTGAGAAGAGTCCGGAATCGAGGTCCCCCAGCGCAATGCAGCACAAGGAAGCTAATTTCTGCAAAGAAATATCGTCTCATTGATCGACCGTTGACTGATTCTTTAAACATACCAAGCTTTCGGCCATGGTTTCGTACGCATACGTCTCCATTGAAGGCTCCACGTCCATCTCCTCGATTTGAACTAATAAGTCTTCGAAGGTTTGCATTGCTGAAGAAAGGGTAGCGTTCAACGCTTTTTTCGCTCCATCGAGCTCCAACTCTTCTTCGATTGAACGTGGTGGGGCTAAATCGTCACCATCCATCTCCGAGTTACTTGACCTAAAGAGTGGTTCCACTGATTGACGGATCAAATTTCCCCATGCTTCGTTCGCAGCTTCAGCCTCGTCGTCCACATCATCACATTCCCTCAAAGTCTTGGCTTGGAGTGACGAAAATACTGGACCTGTAGCTTGAGGGGTGTCTGGTGATAGAGGAGAGTCTTCCGGAGAAGACCTTATCGAGAGTGGTGGAGCGAGCACCTGGCCCAACAGGACCCATTGAATTTCCGTCAGGCTGCAAACGAGGAAGTAACCGCTGAGTGGGCGCTCGGCTGAGGCATACCGAAGGACCAGTGATGATACGAAAGCTTGTGACGGACGTGACCGCGCATCAGGCGACAGCCCCTCGTCATCCTGGGGATCCGCTCGTCCATTCCTTTCCTGTGGATGAGCAATGTCTTCTGCGGCGACTTCAAGATACTCGGTGAGGAGGGAGTTAAGGCGGTCGACGAGGTGTGGGGTGAAGACTCCATCGACTTTGGCGGACAAGGCCTGCCACTCGCTAACGTGCCATGGGAACGGGGTCGATATGACCGCACGGTATAACCCATGGAAGGACGGGGCCACGCGAGTGATTACTTCGTCAGCTAGATGATTCATGGCGTCAGAGTGCGAGAGGTGCTACTGGTGACTTGTTAAATCCTTACGAGACTCAGACTGGAGTTGGTTGATAACTTTGAGAGAAAAAGTTCGTAGAGCGTCCATTACATTGCTGCGATGTTCCGGGTAAGTGGCAGCAATTTTGAGAAGCGCCGAGACGATGGAGAAGACCAGTTGGTCCGGAAGGGCCCAGTCTACGATCGATTATTAGTCGAGTGCAAGACCAACGAGGAAGGAGCCGTACCCTCCCACTCGAGACTATGCTCGAAGTCGATATATGGAATATCCTTGAGGATTTCGATTAGCACCACGGTACTTTTGGCAGAATGTTCAGGGGGTATATTGGACGCCATTTCTCCGAATGCAATGTTGCAACGAACCCCAGAAGCACTCTGGAACCACTTGTCAAAATCGACATGATCGGGGGCCAGATGAGCTATGTCACCCACCATGAAAACTCTTGGCTCATATTCATCTTCTTCTTCTGATGCAGAATCATCATCGGGGCTTTCCGCAAGGTTGGGGCCTCTTTCGCGAGGTGTACCTCCGTTTACGTAGGTTGCGTCGCCTTGCGGGGACTTGACCCCTGTCTCTACTCTAGAGGACAACGCTTGGATAGCACCTTCTACGGACTTCTTCCCTTCATCGGTCTCGGATGCAACACTCCTCCACCCAGATATTGGGCATGATACTGTTCGAGCTAAGTCTGAGAGAATCAGTTGGTGCAAATTGAAGTCCAGGCTAACGGTGGGAGAATCTCAGCTTTCTGCAAGTCTAGAATTCCACGTACCGTACCTATCCATTTTTTCCGAAAATAAACGCAGTCAGGGCCGAGCTTGAAGGCGAGGGTGCTCTCCTGGGCAGATGAGCGGAAGAACCTGTTGGAGTGTTGTCAGGTGATCCCACGCTCTCTCCGAAGTCACCGCGTGAAAGTCCCTGCGGGTGTGCAAACCAAACATTTGTCGGTATAACTAGATTAAAAACAGTTCACAGTATCCAAGTCCCTTATAGCTCAGTGGTAGAGCGCGTCACTAGTACACGCTGTTTCAGGCGGTGGCATGACGAGGTCCATAGTTCAAGTCTGTGTGAGGGAACTTGTACAAGCGAGTCGGGTGCTCCCGTCCGCTTGCTTTTTGCTCTCTAACGCTTCATTTAGTCAACAGTTGTTATTT